TCTCATACCTGCTGTACACATGCTACGGTCCATGTGTTCATGTAGTTCTGGTATGTTGATCTGTGACCTGGTGTAGGTGCTGTGTTTTCACTGTGGGTCTCTCAGTGAACAGCAGTGACTCTGCTCCTCCTGCTCCTCCTGTTCCTCCTGCTAGGTCTGCTCTCCTCAAAGTTACCCTGGAGATGTGGGCTGACCTCAGGGGGGAGGGTCGCGGCCCCAGCTCCCAGGTCCCAGAATAGCGAGGTCAAGGATGTTCTGGCTCTGAACCTGTTCTAAAGCTGTGAGTGTGGAGACAGGTGAAGGTCACAGATAAAAGCCCTGCTGTGCTCTGATTGGATCATTAAAGGATCAAACATATTTGAAAGCTTTTCTTCTCCTAAAACTCTGTCCTTACATCAGCTCAGTGAAGGTATAAAAGTGTGACTCAACCTTCAGCTGTGTGGAGCAGTCATCACTCTGCTCCTTCACACCGGGGGGGGGGGGGTCATTTGTGGTGTTCCTAAAAATACGGTGCACACACGTTAGTATGAAGAAGAGCCGTCTTTAAACCTCATCTCGTGCTTTTAGTTCCATCTTCACGGAGAACTGATCCTCTGTCAGCCTTTGGTTGTCAACCTTGACTAGTTGCTAAGGAGCTGCTCGTTGTTTCTCTCACTTCTTGGTTAGTTAGTGCTCCTGTTGGTGGACACTCACATATAAATCCTCCGTTTTTATTGAACAAGCTGCAAAATCTTGTTTTATTGGAGCTGCGATTCCCTTTTTCTCCGTGTGAATTCTCCCGCTCCTTCAGGGCCTGGTCCAGATTCACCAGGGACGCAGCAGATGGTGAGCTTTGAAACATTGACTTCATCGTTTGTTCCAGAACCAACAACCATAAACTATAGAACTGAGACCAGAGATCAAGTGAAACCATTTGTTTACATCAAGGAAACCATCCTCCAATCAGACGCTGAGACACAGCTGCCGCAGCAGCATTAGCACAAGTGTCCGTCAGCAGCGTCGCTCTGTCAGACCGCACGTTGTTTTTCATTAACTCTCTTAAGCTGATCGCCTCGTGCACACACACGTGCGTACACACACACACACACACACACACATCGTCATCTGTCCTTTTCACTTGGTTAGTCAAATCCTCAGCAGTTCTGTTTAATTAAACCTACGTTGAACAGCTGGTGGACACCAACACAACAGTCGCCCACGGACACCGTGGACGAGGTCGACCAAACCAAATGTTGTAGATTGAATAGTTGGTGATGTTGGTGTGTTGACCCAACAACAGTCTGGTCTGATTGGAATCTTCTAAAAATGAAGAATCTTACAGCGCTGTGTTAGCTTAGAGCCGTGACGTCACTCCACGAGTCAGCAACAGCTGGAAGAAGGAGG